TTGCTGCTGGACACGCCTGGTGTTCCCGCCAGTGTAGAGATGCCCTTGCGTCCCCTTGAGGGCGTCAAGAATCGTGGACGTGTAGGGGCCATGTTAGCTTTATCGTCAGGGCTGTTATGACGTGTCGGGCCCCGGCATCCTACTCACTGCGCCATGTGAGAGGTTTGAATATTAGACCACGTTCTTTGCAGACTTTACTCTTACAGCGTCAGCTGGTGACTAGCAACCGGGCACTGCCCCAGACAAGCTCACACCTCAACACATGGGAAAACATATCGAACGATGGTACTCCATTTCACAATCTCGCAAAACCCAAAGGCTTTTTTACCGCTATACAAAGTTGAAATTAATAACAGAAATAGGCATATTGGACCTGAGGCAAAGGCGTTGAACAATCTTTTTTTCATCAGTGTTCACAAGAGAGGATGTGAACAATCTTCCTGCGTTTGAGGAAAACGGCTTGACACAGAGCTGACCCACATTGTGTTCTCGGACGAGGTTATGAGAAATAAACTGTCAAAGCTAAGGATTCACAAGAGTGCCTGCCCAGAGTGTTAAGAGAACTGTGTAACTAGCTTGCTGAGCCCCTAAAGATCCTGTTCTGCAAATGCCTGGAGGAGCAAAAGGTCCTCGACGACTGGAAGATGGCTTATGTGAGTCCTATATTCAAGAAGGGCTTTCATCACCACTAATAATTAGACCAGTGAGCCTGACCAGCATAGTGTGCAAAGTACTAGAGTGCATCATAAGAGATGCCTTGATGAACATCTGCGACAAAACAACCTTGTAAAGGAATCCCAACATAGTTTTATGCCGGGAAAACCTGCTTAACACAATTACTTAAGGTACTAGATGTTTGGACTCAAATTCTAGAACGAGGCAGAATTATTGACAATATACAGTATACCTAGATTTTTGCCAAGTCTTTCGACAGTGTGCCCCATGAAAGGCTGAGAATTAAACTGGAAGATTACAGGATTCAGGGAAGTGTCTTAGCGTGGATCAGAGACTTTCTGCATGACGGCAATTGGTGCGTGGTGATAAATGGTACGAAATCGTCATGTGTACTTGTGATTGACTTGAGAATTTGCTTAAACAGAGTGTTTGGTCTGTATCCTTCTGTTAAACAAGCCATTATTATTGCTCTGACTGTCTGACATTACCCGTCACAGTGGCGCATCAGGGGGCTTTCCTGGTTGCCCGGAAACCCCCCCTCCAGGTACTGCATGGTGCGGCCAACCCATACCTGACCTGGCGACACCTTAGTAACACGAAGGTTGGGTCAGCTTACCTGACCTCACCCCACGCCACGGTAACGTCCACCACCTCTGCCATTCCCATGCACCTGAATGCACTTAATATACAGCACTGCCAGACAGTGTGAAATATTGAGATTTAATGTTTGTTTTTTCATATTCTCATCCACATTGTACATTTTCTATAGATTTTACATATTTATAAATTATTTTTCCATCCACTTTCACATATTTGATGATTACGCAATGTGCTTCAAATAACTGTATCGTACGATAATACGGCGTTGGAAATTGAGCATGCTGGGTATATAAACCAAGTAATTGACACATTTGCACAGAGAAATCCCAGGAAGATGAAATTTGCCAATGTACTTGCAGAAAAATAAAGGCAATGTATTTTACGGGTGCTCAAAAACTGTTAAGCAAATTTTATGAGCTCTGTTAGTGTTCAGTGTTAGTTAGTCATTATATACAAGTATTAAAATGCTTAATGATTGTTACACATTCAATACAGTAATAACCATATTATATACTCTATATTTAGTGCAGTAAATTCATGTATTTTAAAATTGTGTAAATAAAATATTTAAAAAAAAATTTATGACTTCTATTATCCTGTAATATAAGTCTATATACAAAGATTAGGAATGTTAAATTACACCACCTTCAACCTCAGATTGTTTCCTAAGATTCAGTGCAAATGGCGTCAAATATTGGTCAGATTTCAAAAATTTTTCCGGGGGCTGACAGTGCCTCCCCGGACCCCCCAGCTGAAAGGGCTCACTACGCTTGCCAGACTTCTCAATGAGAAGTTCTCATTAATTTGGAAACCCCTGTGGGGTTATGAGATATTGGTTCACACTCAGGATGGGATGGAGAAAGGAAACTCACAATGTGCTCTCTGTATACCTATTGTATTGGATGTACAATGCAGCTTGGTGCTGGGGGGTGGCAGCGTGAGTCCAAGGGTGATGTAGAGAGAGCGGATTGGTGAGGGTGCTCAGAGGAGAACACGCCGCTTGTAGGGCGGCATAGTCGCCGGCGGGAGCGAGGGCCACCAGGCAGGAGCGGGGGAGGTGTTGCTTGCTGGTGGCTGTAGGTAGAAAGAGGTAGGTCACGGCGGGGTGAGGTCTTAAATAGCGGGGGTATGCGTGGGTTGATAGTTGACCTCCGCTATGTTAGGCGGCGCTGGTTACCGACCTTGACCATGAGGCGCAGGCTGGGGAATTCGAGGGTCGGCTAGTCAGCGACAACGGCTGAGGTGTACAAGCATCTCAGGGGGCACTACTCAGTCGAGTGTCCTTAATTGGAGCTGGCGGACGCTCGCCCCACAAGGGGTCACAGCTCAAGATTGAAGAAGCCGCAAGTCCAGAAAACCGTGAGGGCAAACTTTTTCGGAGTGAGAGTTGTAAACTCTTGGAACAATCTGCCAGAGAGTGTTGTGACGGCACCGAGTGTGAGCTGTTTCAAGACCAGACTTGACCAACACTGGAGCGGGTTCAGGTACATTCAGGAGCCGGTGCATGCCCAGTACTTCCCAACAGTGCATGACAGAGACGTGACCGATCGCCCGGGCGGCTAACGAGCCGATCTTTTGGTGAAGAAGATAAATGAAAAGGAAAAGTAATCAGAGTATAAGGGCCTGTGCCTCTTATAACAATTTTTACTTTAATACTTACAACCATTGGTAGCGTGACGAGAGGAGGCTCATGAGTATATGTAATGATAGTATCAAGTACTAGGGAAGAAATAACGGTAGATACTGTAGATAAATAATAGACACAATATACAAATACAATATTTATTTAAACATTAAAATGGAGGTAGGAGAAAGAATATATGTACCAACAGACGAAACCTGGTACTATGCCCTCAGGCTCAAAATACGCACACCACTACTGGGTGGACATACTCAATAACACATAACTCTTATAGTAACTTAGCAGCACCATTAAGACCAGGGGCAACTACCACTACAACACTCGGTCGTCAGGAGTGATACTCAAGTAACCGCCATGGTGTCCTGCCACCATGGGTACTTTCTAACGAACTCTGAAGATCCCAGTGGAATAACACCACCACACAAATAGCACCTACTGAGCTAGACACTCATCCACCAATGATGGGGGCTGGTAGTTGTGTGTGGCTTGGTGATCCGGGGTCACCTCGCAGGCCGAGCGTTAGGGTCAGACGGGCCAGCTATGGGGCCCATAGGTAGGACTGAAGTTTTTGACGGTCGGGTCTCACGAAGATAACTGATCCTACTGGACCTCGGACATCTCTCCAGACTAGTGGATACAACATCCACGCTACAGACACGGCCTAGGCTGCGTTAGGGACCTGTATGGGTGAAGGGGCGAGCACTTACTAACCGTTGAAATGCCCGCGGGGCCCTCACTCAGAATAGGTCAGGGAGTCCACCTACTTCTATTTCGATGAATTAATTTACTGTACACTCTGACGTTGAAACTGAGACTATGAACTCGGTTTCATTCCCTACTATTATCCTCACTAACAATGCTCTGACTGAGCTATCAAAAGCAAAATTAAATTGATTACAAAGGGTTGGATGGCAACAGGTCCCAACATACAGTGTCTTGCTACGAAATCCGCGGATTATATTCAAAGTTCCCTTTAGACAAAGACGGCCTATCGATGACGTCATCAAGGAAACAGAGAAAACGGGGGACGTTTCCACTGGGGGACTCGGAAGGTTTTGTGGACGTTTGAGCGTAATATGAATCCTTAAGGTTTTCAGGTTAGCCGTCATCACGATCATGACAACACCTCCTCCTCTGCCGCTGCCTGGCGGCCCTCGCTCCCGCCGGCGACCTACAAGCTGTCCTCCTCTGAGCACCCTCACCAACCAGCTCTCTCTACTCAACGCTTGTAACCATGCTGCCTTCCCAGCACCAAGCTGCATTGTACATCCAATACAACATGTATATAGAGAGCACATTGTGAGTCTCCTTTCTCCATCCCATCCTGAGTGTGTGTGGGGTTCAAGATGTTTGGTTCACACTCAGGATGGGATGGAGAAAGAAAACTCACAATGTGCTCTCTATATACATGTTGTATTGGATGTACAATGCAGCTTGGTGCTGGGAAGGCAGCATGGTTACAAGCGTGATGTAGAGAGAGCTGGTTGGTGAGGACGCTCAGCGAAGGACAGCTTGTGGGTCGCCATGCTCGCCAGCGGGAGAGAGGACCGCCAGGCAGGCGGAGGAGCGAGGGCCGCCAGGCAGCGGCAGAGGAGGTGTTGCTGGCTGCGTTTGTAGGTAGAGAAAGAGGCAGATCACCACGAGGTCAGGTCTTAAATAGCGGGGGTAGGCGTGGCATAGCAGTTGACCCCCGCTCCGTGGTGTAAGGCGGCGCTGGTTGACCTAGACCACGAGGCATACACTGGGGAATTGGTGGGGTCGGCTAGGCAGCGACAAACAGCGTTTGTAGAGGAGAATTCCACTACATGTGAACCAAACTACAGTACCCCACAGTATGTTGCCAATTTGTGGCAAAGAGGATAAAGTATAGTAATTTATAATTGAAAAGATTAAGCGGTTTTGAATAAATAATAAAAGTTCTTTCGAAAAAACCACTACATACAGTACACGAACGCTTCAAAATATGTGTATTTTACTTTAAATAGTGCTCCTCTTTTTATGATGCCACAGACATTAAAAAACATTTTAAATACTGTAGTTAGCCAAGTAATACGGAACTGTTTTCTATGATGATGAAGCGTCATAGGTGGCGCGTCAAGAGTGGCGGTGAATCAGTGGAGCATCAAACTATTCTCCTATACTGAGGTACTGTGTGATAACCAAAACAAATGCTCAGGGACGGTGGTCTAACTATCTCAGAGCAGCAGTGGTAAGATCTTAAAACGTTTCTTAGTTTTTACCCTACTTATCCAATGGCCACAGACTAGAGGTGGCATGTGACAAAGGGTCATCCAGGAAATAAGCAGCTAACAGTTTTGTGGCTCGGTCAAACTACCCTACTCCTTGTCATTGTAAACCTTCACTCCCACGGCCTACTGTACTACACCTTATACATGCGTTGTCTAGCTCAAGGCACTCGTTTTGGTACATTTGCACTTCCACCTCTCCATCTGTAAGAAAGTAAAAAATAATTTTTTTATAGTGTATTTGTGTGTTTAGACCGAATATGACCTTCAATTCCGTCGGAAATTGACCGTTTTTTTATTTATCGATTTTTTTTTTCGTGAGACGTTTTTCAAAAAAAAAAATAATGGCTAAGTGAATAAAAAAAAACACACTAGGAAAGCAAAAATTGGATCACCTGAAGAATTGTTACCCCAGAGTTTGGCAGGGTGACAATTCTTCAGGTGGGATATCCTGGGGTGACGATTCTTCAGGTGGACATTCTGAGGTGACGATTCTAAAGGCGAGCCCAAAAACCTAACCTAACCTAACTAACTCTCACCATATGATGGAATCACCTATTTCTTACCTTAGGTTATTTTTTTGTTTTTTTTAGTGTTTTTGTGTATTTTTTTATTCGCTTAGCCATTAATTTTTTTTTAAAAACGTCCCACGAAAAAAATCTTTAAAAAAATGGTCAATTTCTGAAGGAAATGAAGGTCATATTCGGTCTAAACACACACACATACACTAGAAAAATATATTTTTGACTTTTAACAGATGGGAAGGTGGAAGTGCAAATTTAGCCTCGGTTTTTTAGACCCCCCCCCCAACAATCATAAGGGAAGATGTTAGGAAGTGGGAGTTTTGGGCTGGGGGGAAATAACAGAAACAGGTGATTTTCATTGGAGAACAAGGCCAAAATCCTTCAAAAGTCATAAAAAGCCATAGGTGAAACATTTCTAATACCGAAAGAAATAATACCTAACTTAACCTACCCCAGTTTTTCTGAAAAAAAAACAAAAAACAGAAAATCACCAGAAACCAACCAATCCTTTCCGAACCTAACCTAATCAAATCAGAGCCCCCTTGGACCCCTCATGTTGATGCTCCCACATCTTACCATAATCTGAAGAAGAATCAGGTTCATCTGGGCCGTCTACAGTTCGGACAACTCGCGTTGGGTAATGCACCACGTTTTATAAAAAATGGAATGGTCTCGGTATTTTTCTGGTGGGACTCGGCAATAGATGTAAAATAATCGTGTTGATAATGTCCGCACGGCTCTTCCAACTGTTCAGCCATATCTGATGCTGAAATTCAAAATTTCCCTCCCGACACACCCACGCATTGCTCATTGGCTAACACAAAGAGCTCTTACCCAATAATGTCTTCCCTCCCCCTGCCCTACCCAATAATAAAGTTACCCTCACCCTCTGCTTCCACTAACCAATAAGAACTCCCACACTACCTGCACACATACACTGTAGACGAAGAAGAAGCGAACAAACAAACACGGGAGCAGGAACTGAAGGGGGAAGAGCTTCTCCGCCCGACGTAAACAAGGAATGGGGCGACTTGTGACAACCAAATGATAATAATATTGGGAAAATAACATCTTGGTTATTCTTAATTTCCAACAAAATATCATAGAAGAAAAATGTCTTAGAATTGTCTAAACAGTCGGCAAAACATTTCTAACACCAAGAGATAGAACGGTGCATTAATATAAAAAGGCCATTGTCTATATTCATGCTGAACTGTATAACTTGATAAACTTGTAGATTAACGCTGCCAACGATTCTAGCAAGAACACACAGCTTTTCCACCATAATTTTTGTTGTTAATTGCTATTGGCTGTGTTCTCTGTTGGGGAAGTGTTTCTTTTTTATAATGAACAGTATACTATAATACCGTCGGCGAGCCATGGGGGAGTGTGTAGTGCTTGGGTCGTCTGAATCACATTACCATGATATATAATACATGACTCAACTCTGAAAAAATAGCGTTTCCCCAATAGGGGAATATGTTACGTTAGGTTAAATAAGGATAAGTTGAATACTGGCAACATTATATAACCAATTGGGGGTGGGGGAGGTTGAGGGGGGCAACCCCCCCCCCCACCAGGGGGTTAGATCAGGTTATGTTAGGTTAGGTTAAATAAGGAAAACATTAATATTTTTTGTTTTTCCCCAGAAAAAAAACTATCTCCAATAAAAAAGCAGCAAAATCAAAATTCATGCAAGAAAAAAAAATTCCTGGCAAAATAGCTCGCAGCACTTAAGTAAACATTTATCATATATATACCCGTATATATAAAAAGCTGTTCAACAATTTGTCTTAAGGCAGTGGATATTTTGCCGTGACTGGCTAAGTTCCTACTACGCTCTTTTACTGTGAGTACGCTCTGATTGGCGACGGGTTAGTCATCAATAATTACCGGTACCTTAAAATTTTACCATCTGAGACATCTGGGTTAGGCTTTGGTTAGATTTGGTTAGGTTAGATATTAGTCAAGTTACGCTAGGTTTTGGTTAAGTAAGGTTTAGGTTAGGTTAGACCGTTAGAGGGTAAAATTGCAGTTTCACTATCAATTGGTTTTTGACCAGAAATCTAGGTTTTTCTCATGGTATTTGTTGTGGTTCATTCAAATTTGACCTTCATTTCTGTCATAAATGAATCATTTTTGGGTTATCACCCCTGGCCCCCTCCAACAATCTTGGAGGACCTGTGGGAATTTGGAGGTTTTGGGTGGGGGGGAAAGAAAAATGGAGCTAATAGGAAACTAATCAAACCTAACCATTCCCCAACGTAACCAGTATTATTGCAGTTTCACTTCCAATTAGATTGGAGCAATTTTGGGTTCACCAGAAGTTATATCTCATCAATTGCAACAACTTCTTTTCATACTGTACCGCTGCCATTGCAAATGGTTAATAACCGAGATGATAAATTTATGAAGGAAATTCGCGTTAAATATCATGCGGCCATCAGGGTTTATGTTATTTGTACAAACTCTCTGAGATTGTGACCATGAGAGACATCGAGCAGTTTTCCTGGGAATTAAAATCTTACCATCAGAGACTTCTGGTGGGCCTAAAAGGACCAATCACAAAGCCTCATAGCTTTGATTCCATTGTCTTTGACCAAACAGTTATTGATATGGCCCGGGGAAGAATAAGATTATGAAATAAAAATTTTATTTCATTCTCGACATGGCCAACTTGTGCATCCGGTGCTCTCCTCTTCCATTTGAACTTATTCACAATTTGTGGAAGAGTAATTTGGCTACAATCACTTTTCCGAGAACACATTGTTTTTCACCCATCTGTAGATTGTCTAGAGTGAAAATCCTTGTACTTATCGAGAAGATGGACATCAGTGGTTCGGTAAGGTTTTGGTTAAGTTAGATTAGGTTAGGTTTTGCTTAAGTTTGGTTAGGTTTGTTAGGTTTTGCTTAAATTAGGATAGGTTGGGTTATGGTTGTGTTTACCTGTTGTAATCTCTGATGAAGAGTCTGTAGAGTCAGTATTAAAGGTGCACTGGAAGTGACATTCATAACTGTTTATGGGTTAAGTTTCAAACCCAAATGGTCTTTTCTCCATTAATCAAGAAAATAAACTATTGCACAATAACTAGGGTATCACCGTAATTAATGCTATGAGCTGTGAATGTTAATAAGGGACAAAGCTTATGTGTAACGAGCTTCGTTGAACACACGTCTTGCTTGGGTGAAACACAGGAGACAGACTGGCTAGAAGCCGGCTACTTAATTGATGACTCTACAGTCAAGGTGTGAGCGCTCATTGGAAACTCACTGTCACATGTCCAGTTGGTGACTACTCACGGCTCATAGGCTGGTTATTAAGGGTGATGTAATTATGTAAACCTAATGTATGTAACCCACATTTATACAAGTATTAATGTCTGTTTTACAGGGGCTAATACATTGCTCGGCCACCACCCATCGAGTTCTATGACAGTGGTTCCCAACCTTTTTGTACTCGCGACTCTTTTCTCAAAACCCCGAAACACTCGCCACCCCCTTGCCGTCAGCTATTTCAGTTTTACAAAAATTTCTGAGATGGAAAGGGGAAGAAAGAGAAAACAATCATTAATTCATTAATTTTGTGCCTACTCCACCGGCACAACATTATGTTGTGTGTTCTAGGTTACTGGCGTATCAGCGAAATGAAAGTTTTAGTAATATTCCTGCTGATGTACTAAGTTCTCCCAAAGCTGCCAAGTTCTCCCAAGGTTTCTCAACCCCCGAGCCAACCCTCCGCGACCCCCCAAGGGGTCGCAACCCACAGATTGGGAACCCCTGTTCTATGAGAAGTAATCTAACCGCATAGTAAAAAAGAATACCTAATGGATGCCTATCTGTTATAAAAGATGAAATGACCAAGGAATAATTGTATTCTTGATTCTAAAAATTCACATTTAGAAAACTTGAGGAAAACTTCATGGTGCCTGGCAAGATGACTGTCTACATCTTTACTGACTTTGATGAGATCATCTAATTACTAAGCGCTCTACGGCGTGGATGCTGTAGCCACGAGGCGACCCAGCCCACACGACGCTCTCGTACGGGACGGAAACGCTTCGGTCTAGAAAATACGCGCGTCATTTGAAAAAGTTTTGGTATCGACTGCAGCGGTCGTATGTGCGGGTGGTCGTACCGACTGAGGCGGTCGTGTGTGCGGGTGGTCGTACCGACTGAGGCAGTCGTATGTGCGGGTGGTCGTACCAACTGAGGCGGTCGTAGGTCGAGTATGTCGTAAGTCGAGGAGTAGCTGGGTATTTGGTTTTAAAAAATTAATTACGGCTCGGTGGGCACTTTCAGGATAATATGTTATCCAAATGTTAAAAAAATTGTCGAATATTGTACAGGATATGTGAAAGTAAGTACAGTTGCAATATGTATTGTGAGGATTGTCTGTACTGTATTCATAATGTTACAAAATGACTCACAGATGTGAATATAATGACACTAATTAATTCAGTGGTGCCTACAGTGAAGGCAGGTAGTAAATATTTACAGTACTCATTATGATCCCAGGTTCCTCCTCATAACCTTAGTTGATAATTCTTAGTATTTTCATCACATATTATAGGTAGCCCTTGCTATGTCAATGGAGTAAGTTCCTTGGAAACCATTCATTAAGTAAATAATTGTATATTGAATAACATATCATGTGAGAAAATAGGTTATGGTTCCCCACTGACGCGAAAAACCCAATATTATACCTAAAAAATAAAATGGTTCTCAAACTTAAAACCTACCAAACTACTGTAAATTAGTACGTAACTATTGTATTTTAAGAGTGTAACACATTGGAAAATTACAATATAAATTGGACACATTACCTTAAGGGACCATATTTATATAAACGAGAATGGTTTTCTTATATACAGGTGCTCCCCGAATTACGACGGGGTTAGGGACCCAAATCCAGGTCGTAAGTCCGACATAGATAAAAAATAAAATTAAAAAAATATAAAAAATAAATAAAAAAATTAAATTTTTAAAAATTAAACAAAAATAAATGAATAAATAAAAAATCTGCAAGGAAATACAGTACCCTAAAAGTAATAATTAATGAGGAATGGATACAATGTGACTGAGCACTTACCTTTAATGTAGTCAGCTGAATGCACATGGGGCCCCCATAATTTTCTAATCATACATGGAGACTACCGTACATTAACTGGAAACGTTTCGGTATAGAAAATGCGCGCGTCATTTGAAAAAATAAAAAATTAATTTTGGTCAAGACTGCGGCGGTCGTATGTCCCGACGGTAGTAAGGTCAGAGCAGGTCGTAAGTACCGATGGACATAAGTTGAGGCAGTTGTAAGTCGGGGACTACCTGTACTGTAGTGAGAATAAGAATAGAATACAGTTGGGTCTTCATTTACGTGGTCAATTGAACCCGCGGAGTACCCCGTAAAACGAGAAACGTGTAAATGAAATAACAGAACTTATGGGATTACAGTCATGTGCCGGTTAACGTCCTAGATACGTTCTTGGAAACGTGACGTTAACCGAAGTGGACGTTGTCCGATCATCACATGAACTTTATATTTATACTTACGTATATGTGGAATACTATATACGTACATATACACTTTTACTCTTAAATCACTACTGTAATGTGATACAGGTGATTAATTTTTATCTCTTGTGCAAAATACATGACGTTTATATTAAAATTATTCACTGTTTTACAAGGATCCCAGCAACGCCAAGCAGATGGGGGAGAGAGAGGGTGGGAGCGAGAGAGGGGGCGTGGGGGGAGGGGAAGTAGTACGTTTGACAGTTGGCACAGGCCTAGGTCTAACGCATGTATATTTATCAGTTCTTAGGTGACTAAGCTTCTCTCTTATAAAAAGCCAGTGAAATGACCTGGGTGAATATAATTAACATAGCTGGGATTCTTGTAACATACTGATTAATTTGAATATAAACATGCTATAATTTGCACTCGACAAAACAATTTTAGTACCGTAATCAAATTAGTATGTGCACTCCAGCTTTGCACTAACGTCATTTATTTCTATTACGTTTCTTTTAGTATGGTGTGTGCATGTAAATGGATGAAAATAAATGAAGAAATCTATGTAAATCTACCCAAAAATACAGTTGAAAAACTTTTTTATAAAATGTACTACAGTACTGTACACTAATGTACAACAATTTTTATCTCTTGAGCAAAATATATGACGTTTTTATTCAAATTATTGGCTGTCTTGCAAGGATTCCAGCAATGCAAATTATAATCTCCTAACTTTAGTCTGAGATATTATATAAGATAAAAACTGTTAGCCTAAAAGCCTGACTGGGGGGGCCTGACCGTGCCACCTACGCCACCCAGCGAGGGGTTGGGGGGATGGGGGTGTTGAGGTGATAAGTTTGAGGCGAAGGTCTCTTCACCAAACAGGTTGTATATAATAATAATTCTGCACTTCTTGAGGGTGTCAGAGATGAGGAGCACTCACTAATTATCGTCACGATACTGGATACAATTTTAACACTCGGATTATGTAACACGTCACTGTTTTTTGTTTTCTTGTTTTCACAAAAAACTGGCGTCATGGTATGTATACTGCCTTAAAGCTTCCGTACCCACACGAGCTGCCACCTTATATGTTACGCTGGTTAATTCCCCAGTTAACCAGGTTGGTACACATATAATATATATTGGGCTTTTAGTAACGAAACCCAATTGAAGTTTCTTGTTTTATTATAAAAGTATTATGTTTATAATTCCTGAGTGTATATCAACCGTAAGTTCCACTATTTATGAGTGAATGAGAAAGGACGGCGTTTATGTAATATAAACGTGGATCAACGTCCGTTCGATATTAGTTGATGTGAGTGACTGGCTAAGAGCGAGCACTGGTGCGCGCTTACATAGATGCTGACATATGGGCTTCTCCCTCTTGGGAAAGTTACCCTTCACGTGATCAGTTCATGTCTTACTCATAGGTAGTGGAAAAGTACAGGGGGTGAATCTGAATATAAATCAGATGTATTTGACCCATTTATATAAAGCTTTCTGTTGATGAGACAGGGGCCATTACATCCGCGTAAATGACCAAATTTACCGCATAATTAAAGCATCTCAATTCTGGCAAGACACCGTGTAAATGACGAAACGAGTAAACCAAAACCGCATAAATCCAGACTTAACTGTATTAATATACGTACTGTAAGTGAATATTTTCAGAGTGATTCTTGTCTTGTAATTATGAAGCACTTTTGTTCATATATTATTTAAATAACTTTCTTTTCTTTGTTTTCCAGGTGCCAATGCAGAGGTTTATGGGTCATATCCTGAATTTTATCAACATAGAAGCACTTACAGCAAAGTGTATGTGCAGCTGAAGGAGACAATTGCAAAATCTAAGAAATACTTTTACTTGTGAATTACTAAATATGGCCAATTTTTCTGTCAGAGCCCGTTACTGTATTGATAATGTAACAGGAACCAGTTTCTTGTGTTCAGATGTGTCACAGATACAAGAACTTTTATAATATAAAATTCGTCTGTGTTGCTTGGCTGAAATCAGATTCATGTATACAGTACGGTATATTTTGAGAGAAAAGAAGGAATTCAGTGTTACATATCTCGACCAGAAATCAAAGAAATATTCTAGGCATTAAAATCTTGTGGAAGGATTGGTCATACAGTATGCCAGATACAGTACATGTTCCTAACTACTGTATACTCAACTTGCTTATAGTGTACAGTACTGTAGTAATAGAAGTGATCATACCAACATAGGTGCTATCAAGCTTATAATAAGGAAATGGAAAATAGATTACAGGGTCAGATGAAAGTGTGTGTTGTAGTCAGTGCAAAGACTTCATCAACTATATATTACCCATGTTACAGTGGAGGCTGTCCCTCTACTAGAGAACAGTACATGAATGGACTTTAAAGAAATATATACTGTACTGTAAGAAAAATTGGCCTTGTATAGTACCACATGAGTCACAGGAGAAGCAGGTTTTCTTAAGTACAGTACAGACCTAGAAATGGATGAAATGACAGTATCAGAGTGTCAGGGTGCAAAACCGTCGCCGATTATAATACTTGATGCTATCCCAGTATTACAACTAATTGGTAATAGAAAAACATCTTGCTCACAGAATACAAGGACAGCGTTATGTGTGGAAGAGAAAGTCAGAAACTCAGAGTCAAGTTCATTGGGAGGACAACCCGGCCCATTATATCCTAGCGCAGATTATCAACTACAAGAGACAGATTCCCAAAACTTTTTCGTTTCTGAAAAAATTCCTTCGTCCTTACAGTTTCCAAATGTTACACAGAACAAAACTTTACAGTGCCAGGAGCAGGAAACACAAATGCCATCCTCTTCAAAAAATATTAAATTACTGAACAATTCTGGCAGTGAAAATTTAAGTAAAAAACCCCATTCTCTCTGGCAACTTTCATCGGAAAGTTTACCAGATTTGAATGTTGATATTGTGCATGATCATATAAAGTGGTTCAGAGCACTTTTATCAGAACAGTGCAAGGACATAGTAAATGGGTCTTTGACATTCTCTGAGCATAAAAACTTGGTGATAGTTGAGACATGCATTGCTCAAGTAATTACCTCACAGGTGCCTAAATCACAGATAATGACCACAGAATATCTTTTTTCACAAGTGCAGTGTAACTTTGTTCGTAGTATTTGGGACCTGAAACAATTACTTGCAAAAAGTCCTCTATTTGTGTATAATGTTAATACACAAACGTGGAACAGACGCCGTCTTATTAAAGGTTAGTTATCGTAAACTTGTTGGAATGAAAATATTAGTTGAAAGGTATTGTAGATTGGATTTGCTTTTATAAGTTTTACGCTATGTTTTTTGTTAATATTTTAATAAATAGGAAAATAATGATAATACTAAAAATTACCCTGTAATTCAATATGAATTTTGACGGTAAAACTGTATACAGTAGCCTTAGTTGCTGCAGCCTCTTTCAAAGTTTAATAGCAATACTGTATTACAGTGAATCAGTTAATCCCTGCATGACGTCAGTTGTTGTTTACTTGCCACATACTGAGGAATTCTGAGCAAGTGTCCAAAAAAATTTACCTCTTTTATAAGTTTTAACCCATATTAAGTGTTTAAGGTCTCAGGAAAGGAAAGAATGAGGGAAAAAGAAAATGAGTATAATTGTTGCAGATAAGTTAAAGATGAGAGAGAAGCTTGAAAGTGGCATTGCTGGAACATAGATCTTGCAGGAGTTCACCAAATCTAAAAAAAACTGGATTATATTATGATAGAGACCAAATATAGCAGTTTGCTTTAATGTGTGATATCAGTCCTGGTGGTTCAGTGGCAACAATAATGATTTTGAAGCAACTGAAGGATATATGTAACTGAAAGAAGCTGTCTACAAGTTTAGAGTATACTGTTGTGTATTATTCTCTATCTATCTGTTATTTATCATTTACAGGGTTAATGTGAAGTGCTATTTTTAGTCAAATAACACAGCACAGCAGAGGTAGTGATTGCTGGACCAGGACTATCAAGTGGTTTTCATGTTCATTTCATCATTTCTTTCCTCATAGGACAATTTATCATCTACCATGCGCAGATCATCATCACTCATGGTTTCTTAAATCTATTTGTTTATTTTCATCATTCACATAATACTGTACGGTATATATATCTACTGTTGTGGCAGTAGTCATCAGCCCCTGTGGTCCGGGTGTAACTGCCATGCTCACTGAGTAACCACTATGTATTTAAATATTTTCATACCTTTATTGGTACTGTATATACGTATATTCTAAATAATATACTGTAGAAATACCTTTTTTATATAAAATTAAATTTATTTGAAATACAGGTAGTTCTGCTATAACGCGATAATTGTGTTCTTGTAAAATATCGTGTTATAGAAAATCGCGTAATAGAAATAACAGGGCTTATGGAGAAAATAGGGTTAGGTGCAGATTACTCGAAATCGAAAAAATTTAGTAGTTAGCCTAATACAAAGGATAGCACAGTCTAAATAAATGTTACATTCATATCTAATAATGAAATCATACAGTAAATGTAACACTTTACCTTGAAAAAATATGAATGTAACTTGATGGGGGAGAAGGGTGATTTTGAGGTTGATAAAATCGAGCTTCTCTTCAAGTGTTATATCCTTTCTTTTACGATCATCACCGGGAATTCTATCACCAGAACGCTTCTTGGAGATATTCTTCTTTACCATATTCACAGTTAATACCACAAAATTGGAGAAATAGTAAGCAAAAATCGCGTTATAGCAAACAAGCGTTCGCGTTATACAAATATCGTTCCTAATTCATAAATCGTGTTAGAGCAAATTCGCGTTATCAAAACACGCGTTATAGCAGAACTCACTGTACTGAACCGTATAATCCTGAGTCCCTGACCTCCCCCTTACCCTTCACCGATCAAGTGCTGTTTCACGTAGTACAGTGAACCCTCACTTTACACGGTCAATTGAACCCACGGCGGCCCGCGTAAAGTGAGAAACGCGTAAAGTGAACAACATAACATATGGGATTAATTGAAATAGAGACCGGGCCGACCCCCAAACTCCACTTTTTCAGACACAATACCTACGTTGTAGTAAAAATAACTTCTTAATTTTGTGATGGTATGCACACACAATAATTAAGAGAAATATCAATAATATTAGGTTTTTTTTACACTTAATTAGTAGAAAAGATGGCTGGGCACACGGGGATGGGGGGTTGGTTCTGAGGCAGAGGGCAGATTATTGGCCCCCCACTTGTATCAATTGTATCACTATCCACTACAGATGCTTGCAGGGCCTCTTTGTCAAACCCCTCAAAGTCCATACAAGTCCATATCCTCACTATCATAATCACTATCACTGACTTGGGCCGGCTGTGGTGGGTGGCGGGTGAAGAACTCGGTAATGTTTTGATGACTGGGTGACCTTGTGCGCACCCTGCTCGCGCCGCTCTCCGCGTAAAAGGGTACACACACCGCGGAAATGAGCATTCCATGTTTGGCAGGGTACCGCGTAAACGTGGAAATGCGTAAAGTGGGACCGCGTAAAGCGAGGGTTGACTGTAATTCTAATTAAGTCAGACACACCATTTTTTGCTAAAATACAGTTAACCCTCACTTTACGCGGTTAATGTAACCCGGAGGGTACCGCGGAAAGTGAGGAACGCGTAAAGTGAATAACATAACATATGGGATTAATTGAAATGGAGTCCAGGCCGATCCCCAAACTCCACTTTTTGACGACACATAACTATGTTGCAGTAAAAATTTTATCTTAACTTTATGATGGTATGAAAAAACAAGTAATATAGAAGAGGTTAGGTTAGGAAAGATAAAGGTTAACATAGGAAAAATAAAGGTAAGGTTAGAAAACTAAAAATTAGGTGGAACACTTACGGTAGTAGAAGAGATGGGTCGGCATACGGGGATGGAGGCTGGTTCCGAGGCAGAGGGCAGATTACTGGCCCTCAGGTGAATCACCATTACTAGGTGAATCATCATCACTGTCACTTACAGTTGTCAGGGCTTCCCTGACAAATCCCTCAAAGTCAACTTCACTGTCACTATCACTGGCTTGGGCTGGCTGTGGTGGGTTGCGGGTGAAGAAATCTGTTATGCTTTGCTGACGGCTGGCGTTGATGTTGTCGTGATACACCTTGATGTACGGCTCCATAGCCTGCACCAGCCGGTTATGGAAGACTTCATAGCGGTCATCGTCATTGTCGCGGGAAAGGAAGGACTTCATCTTCTCTGCACACTCCATGGCACCCTTAATATCACTATGACTTAAATTGTGTTCTTCGGAGACTGCCGCACCTTCTTCCTCCTCTTCACTGGCGTGTTCTTCTTCCAACATCTCGTCGGCAGTCACTTCAGGATTTCTGATCACCTCCAGGATGTCGTCGTTGGTGGTCTCGGAGAAGCCTGGAACTGTAACAGTCTGCGCAGCTTCTCTGGCAAGGTCCACTGCTACTGCAACATTCTGAACCTCACCAGTCACAGATTGACTCCTCCTCTCACCTGGTATTCCATGCAACACATGTCTCCATGCGTGACGAATTGTAGCAATAGACAGCTGATCCCATGACTCCACCAAGATGTCCACAGCTTTCTTGATGTTAAATACTCTCCAGAATTGTTTGAAGAGTATTTTTTGCTGTTCTAACTGTTGTTCCTCATCTTCGTCGCTCTTGCTATCGGTGGTGGTGTCACTCAGGTTACGCAACTCTTCCCTGGTGTTGGTGTAGTCGTTCAGGAGCTGGAATTTTTTGGTTGAGAATGCAGCTTTCACATTGCAAATCAACTCCTGGTCCATGGGCTGTAATATAGACGTAGTGTTGGGAGGAAGGAAGACCACTTTTACGTTGGGGTGACGATCTAACAGTAGGGGCGAGTGTCCTGGTGCGTTGTCCAGCAGCAACAAAATATTAAATGGGACATTCTGTCGCTCACAGAATTTCTTTACATCGGGAACAAAACAGCCATCAAACCAGGAGAGGGACAGTGTAGAGAACATCCATGCCTTACGTGCTGTCAGCCAGTGGACATTTAGCTTGGTCATGTCCATGCTCTTGTAGGCGTGCGGCTTGCGGGCTGTGTGGATCACCGATAACTTGAGCTTACAGGTACCGGAGGCATTGGTGGTAAACAGGACGGTGATGCATTCCTTCTGCATTTTCCGGCCCCGAATCCTGCTGGCATTCTTCACAACGAAGGACTTGGAAGGTAGTTTTTTCCAGAAAAGACCAGATTCGTCCATGTTAAACACCTGGTCGTCACTGTACTGTCCTTCCTCCATAATCTCACGTAAAAACGGAGGAAATTCCCGAGCCGCAGCACGATCAGCACTCGCTTCTTCACCACCAATGTTTATATTGGTGATCTTGTTCCGGATCTTAAACCTCTGTAACCACCCAGAGGAAGCATTAAAGGGTTTGGGCTCTGAAGTTCCCATCTTTCGTGCCACTGCCATGTACAGTTCACGTGCGTAGTCCTTAACAGAGCGCGTGTCGACCGCCATGTTCCGTCGCGCCTGACGCACCAAGTACCTCACAAGTAATTTTTCTGTCTTGAGAAGCACCTGGTTGTGAAAATACTTGATCATAGAAGCACCTGTAGACTTTGTGATCTTCATGTGCTCCTTTATCTTGGCTGAATCCTTCTTTATAGTCCGGATCGTAGATTCGTTCACGCCATGCTGGCGCGCCAAATCAACCTGCCTTGTTCCTTTCTCCAACTCTTGGATGATGCTATACTTCACCTCGTAGCTTAAGGAACGTCGTGTCTTCTTTGGTTTAGTGCCGCTGGGTCCAGGTAAGGAAAGGTTTCTCTCTGGGGGTGGTGGTCCGGCGGAAGCCATTTTACGGAACAATGGATGCGCGTTTACACGGAGTGGCCTGGAGGGATGAAACTGCCGCGGCTAGGTCAAGCGTCGTCTCTCCTCCCTCCCCCGGGTGGACACGTCATAATACTTTAAGCCAATTACAGCTAGCAGCAGAGGGGGGTAGGGATGCATGGCCAATCACAGGTCTGATACGTCATATGACGTCAGTGATAACGCAACAAAGACACACACTGCGCAACCTTACCGCGCCGCTTGCCCAAGCGGAGGGAGGAGGAGGGAGAGGCAGGCAGGCGGGCGGGTGGGTGGCGCGTGGGGCAAATCTAAAAATAGCGTCGCGCCGGACACTCTCCGCGTAATGGGGTTCACGTACCGCGTAATGTGAGCATGTGAGGTTCTGGCAAGGCACCGCGTTAACGGTGAACCGCAGAATGCGGGACCGCGTAATGTGAGGGTTGACTGTATTCCTGAATAGTTATCTAAAAGCTCATTTAAAATGAGGGCCATACAGGGGGTAGGTTATAGGTCATAATATTGAATATTATATGGTAAGTGAAAATCGGGAGAAGAGTATTCACAGTTTTGCTCTTTCACGGTAATATCAGGAACATACGTAATTCCTGTAAAAAACAAGGGACTACTGACTATAACTTAACTAATTTTATTATATATTTTTAAGATAACTTCTACTCTAACTTCAGTAACAAATCACAGTACTGTACGTACTGTACTGAACTTTCCACATCTCTGCATAAAACTAAAAAAAAAGTATTATACAGTCGACCCTCGTTAATTCGGACTAATGGGGGGGAAGGGTGTCCGTTTTAGCCGATTGTCCGAATTAACCGATTTAGGGGTTAATATTGCATTATATTTCAAAGTCATTGTTTTCGTCACGATTTTATCCCACTTTCCACTGTAATACGTACGTAATTTCAGCAAAAATATTACATTTCGGTGAATGTATTATAACAAGCACAGTATGAATAGAATATCATTGTAATATAACAGTACAGTATTTTAACCGAAAACTATTAAAAAAACGAATAACATCTCAAGAACATCGGAAGCTTAGGTAAAGTCTTTTGTTTTTGTCATGTATTTTATCCTATTTTACATTGAAATACATCACGTTTCAGCAAACCTACTATTTATTTCCGAGAATATATTCATTCAGGCGCAGTTTAGGTAAAATATACGTGTGGTGTAACAGTTTTTTAACTGAAAACGATTAAAAAAACACGTACCCTCTACCCTCTGTTCAAGGAGTGGACTGGGAGAAGCTGTTTGGTGCTGCAGACGATGACAAGGAAAATGATTTGGATGGATTTTAATGAAAATATTCAGAAATATGGTATCGTAGTATTTATTCAAGTCAATTAGGATAGAATATTATTGTAATACAACAGTTTTTTAACTGGAAACCAATCGAAAAGCGATTATGGTAACATCTTTTGAACGAAAGAAAGCGAAAGTAATTGTTTTCGTCACGATTTTATCCCACTTTCCACTGTAATACGTACTTCATTTCAGCAAAATTATTACATTTCCGTGAATGCATTATATCAAGCTCAGTATGAATAGAATACCATTGTAATATACAGTATTACCCCGCCTAACGCGGTTTCACTTAACGCGTTTTTTCATATACGCGGTGCCTCGCCAGAGCTGAACTTTCACTTAACACGGATTTTTTCCACATATACGCGGTGAGTGTCCGGCTCGAGACGCTATTTTTAGATTTGCCCCACCCGCCACCCTGCCTGACTGCCTGTTTTAGCTCATAAAATTCATACAAATTACCCGGCCAGAATATAATTTACATTGCTGGAATTCTTATAATTTGGTGATCATTTTGAATATAAACATCATATATTTTGCATTAGACATACAAATTTTAGATAAAATGTTTTCTCTAGTAAATATGTTATCTTTTGTGCAAAATATATGACATTTATATTCAAAATATTCCTGGTCTTACAAGGAATCCAGCAATGTCAATTGTATTATCCTAACTTTAGTTTGAGGTATTATTTATTAAAATTTAGTGGTTTTCCCCAAAAAATTTCTCAGAGGGAAGAGCCAGCAGTGTAGTGTGAGAGGGGGAGGGAGTTGAGTCCATTATTTGAATGGACATTAACTTGGCGACTGTATTTCTCTATTTCTCTTAAGTATTAATTGTGTGCATGTACCATCATAAAATTAAGATGTTATTTTTACTACAACATAGTTATGTGTCTTCAAAAAGTGGAGTTTGGGGGTCGGGCTGGTTTCTATTGGAATTAATCCCATATGTTCTGTTGTTCACTTAACGCGGGACCCTCTGGGTTCTATTGACCGCGTTAAGTGGGGTACAACTGTAACTATTTTAACCAAAAACTATTAAAAAACGAGTAACTTCTCTTGAACATTGGAAGGTTAGGTAAAATCTTTTGTTTTCGTCATGTATTTTATCCTATTTTACATTAAGATACATCACATTTCAGCAAAACTACTATTTATTTCCGAGAATATATTCATTCAGGCACAGTTAAGGTAAAATATACATGTGATGCAACAGTTTTTAACTGAAAACTATTCAAAAAACACGTGTACCGTCTAGCTGATACTCAACAGCTGGTGGTGCGTCATGCGTCGTTGTAAACAATAGGAGGTTGAAGTAGATTACCGGGTATTATATTAAGTGTGAAATATCGAAAAGGTTTTTACTACCGGTATTTTTGGTAGATCAATGAAAACTGTGGTACCGTATATGATATGATAAGTTAGTCTGTGCTAATAACTTCAACATAGACTACTGAAAACACATTGTAAGGTAATTTAGCCTATTGTAAGTTGGTGAGCTTCATTTGCTGAAGGAACTGCACAACTTTTCATTACTAATTGGTACATATTTTACGTTTCCATTGTTTACTGGCAGTAAATGGTAAATATTTTTCATGTCTGAAGCTAAAAGTTGCATCCCCTCCCCACACTAGTGGTGGAGATGTTACATTTAACCAAAAAGACGCTGGTGTTTTATCCCAGCAGTGGGTGGACCAGCATTTTAGCTTTAGGTCCGCGTAGGTAATATTCCTACAAATAAAAAAAAAAAAAGGGGGGGTTCAGATTTTTGTCGAAATCCTGATTTAAAGGGTCGAATTAACGATTCGAGCTGTATATACAGTACCGGTATATCCTTTGAGTATTTGACAAGATTACTGCACAGTATTTGAATGATTTTTGCAGCACTTTTATCCATAATATTTAATGGACCAGAATTTCTTAAATAAATTACAATATTGCTTACCCAACATCTTTTGTTTTTCAGAAACCATCCCCGGATGCCCAGATGAACATTGGGATGGAATAAGAAACTTGAGAAATTTATGGACTTTCCCAGAATCCATTCGAGGAGTTGAAAATATCATGGCTGCTTGTTTGAAAATAATTTTAAGCACATCGCTCATGTCTATGAATCAGATATGTCATGATTTATGTTCTACTTTATGTATTCCCTGGTCTAAAGGAATAGTAGAACCACTTGGAAATTGTTAAATATTGTATCCACAGAATCTGGAAAAGGGGCAGGTCAGTATAGTATACCTACTGTATTATTTTTCAGTGAACAATGATCATAAGGCATGGTTTCATAAAGTTATAATGGAAAGATATCCATTATTTTCCTATTATTATTATTTTATTTTTTATCTTTCTGAAGGGCACAGAAAGGGTGTTAATTAATAGTGCTCTTACTCTTAGCCCCTAAAACATCAACAACAGACTCTGTGTTGACTTTATAATATTCTTAATGGATTATTTTAAAATTTGTCTAATATTCTCAATTTAATTCTTCTTTTTCAGATAATGGAAAACAGACAAGAGGTAACGCTTTCAAAAAGTTGTACTTAATAAACAAAAAAAGTTGCAATGCACAGATGCAAGAAGAATCTCTCGACTCTACATTTTGTATAACATCAACATCACCATTATATAGTGGAAAAACTTTGTCAACAGTGAATACTGCTCACACAATGCCACCAAGTAGTGGAGCAACTTTGTCTACAGTGAATACTGCTCACAGAACAACTTTGCCTATAGTGAATACTGCTCACAGAGCAACTGTGCCTACAGTGAATACTGCTCACAGAGCAACTGTGTCTACAATGAATACTGCCCACAGAGCAGCTTTGTCTACAGTGAATACTACTCATACAATACCACCAAGTCGTGGAGCAACTTTGTCTACAGTGAATACTGCTCACAGAGCAACTTTGCCTACAGTGAATACTGCTCATAAAGCAACTTTGTCTACAGTGAATACTGCTCATAAAGCAACTTTGTCCACAGTGAATACTGCTCACAGAGCAACTGTGAATACAATGAATACTGCTCACAGAGCAGCTTTGTCTAAAGTGAAAACTGCTCACAAGGCAACTTTTTCGACAGTGAATACTACTCACACAACACCAAGTAGTGAAGCAACTTTGTCTACAGTGAATACTGCTCATAAAGCAACTTTGTCTACAGTGAATACTGCTCACAGAGCAACTTTGCCTACAGTGAATACTGCTCATAAAGCAACTTTGTCTACAGTGAATACTGCTCATAAAGCAACTTTGTGTACAGTGAATACTGCTCATAAAGCAACTTTGTCCACAGTGAATACTGCTCACCACAGAGTAACTGTGTATACAATGAATACTGCTCACAGAGCAGCTTTGAGAGCAGCTTTGTCTAAAGTGAAAACTGCTCACAAGGCAACTTTGTCTACAGTGAATACTGCTCACAGAGCAGCTTTGCCTACAGTGAATACTGCTCACAAAGCAACTTTGTCTACAGTGAATACTACTCACACAACACCAGCAAGTAGTGGAGCAACTTTGTCTTCAGTGAATACTGCTCATAAAGCAACTTTGTCTACAGTGAATACTGCTCATAAAGCAACTTTGTCTACAGTGAATACTGCTCACATAATGCCACCAAGTAGTGAAGCAACTTTGTCTACAGTGAATACTGCTCACAGAGCAACTTTGCCTACAGTGAATACTGCTCATAAAGCAACTTTGTTCACAGTGAATACTGCTCACATAATGCCACCAAGTAGTGAAGCAACTTTGTCTACAGTGAATACTGCTCATAAAACTGCTTTGTCTACAGTGAATACTGCTCACAGAGCAACTTTGCCTACAGTGAATACTGCTCACAGAACAGCTTTGTCTACAGTGAATACTGCTCATAAAGCAACTTTGTCTACAGTGAATACTGCTCACATAATGCCACCAAGTAGTGAAGCAACTTTGTCTACAGTGAATACTGCTCACATAATGCGACTAAGTAGTGGAGCAACTTTGTCTACAGTGAATACTGTTCAGAAGCATTGTAACTTGGTGAACTTCCAGAATGTCACTTCATTACAACAAACAATGGTTGATGATACATCTAAAAGTGGTCACACGTTCCCTCATCCAGCAAATAAAGTTGTTGAATCCCAAAGGTTAGTGGCTGCATAAAGCATGACATATGTTATTTTCTCTTTGTGACACTGTGTAAGGTTTTTTGTAACAAGTCATACAGCATTGGATTATTTAAATGTGAGTTTGTTAAGGCTCCCTGGGTCATAAGAAAATACTGGAAAAGTAATGAAAATAATAGTTATGGTAATGTCTTAATATTTGTCATCCAAGGATGATTTGTAGATTAGAACATAATGCATTGAGATCAGTGGTATCAGTTTTCATAATGAACATAAATTTGGACCTAAAATCATGCCAAGAGTACATGAGACCGAGGACCAAGTTGAACATTAGCTTTTCAAGTGATGGAGTTTGGTAATAAATTTACTACATAATGAGTTGCCTTGTATTTCATCACTTAAGATTCATATATTAATTATCTACAATAATATTCACTCTAGTAATTTACATTATATGTATACTGCACCATCATAATTACAGATAAGAGATATTGTTTTAACTTTTGCTTTTTCACACAACTATAATCTTACTCAATATATGGATCACTGAGTATGTAGTTGAGATGGGTGTGAGGTGAAGAAGACACCACCTTCACAGTTGTCTGTAAAACTACTGTAGGTGTTTAATTTGTCATTTATAATGTCATTGTTTGCTACATAAATTTAAACCTCAGGTAAGTTGCTATATAAGACATTACTCATTTTGGATATTGAGAAATTAGGTTTTAAAATGTGCTTAAAGTCATACCAGAATATGTCTCAGTATGGATTTAGTAATGTTCCTCATTATGTTTACTGTTGGTATTATTACACACTTCCCTCGAGTATTGTAACTGGCAGGAACAACCAAGTGACACAAAAATAAAATAATAAAACTTCCTCAAAAATCAACTATAATCATAAATTTGAATTCAATTCACAATGGGGTTGAGCTGCCATATTTATTGGTATGAAAAACAATAAAATTAATACATAGCATATCATAAAATATAATAGCACATATTTTATCTTTTAAAAAAGCTCCTTCCACACTCAAACCGTCATCTGGGCGACGTAATACAGTTCAGCCAGGCAGTCAACCAGCTGACTCAGATGTGTGGCCGCCACACTGCGCTGTGTGTACGTCATTAAGTTACATCAGGGAAGGAGCTCGGCCATGCAGTTATAGTTCACCAATTCCACACACATTTGCTTCCCATGCATACACACCCAAACTCTTCATTTTTCTTATTTTATGGTTTTATGTTATATAGAGTTACAGTATATCGAGTGGAATTAGTGTTAAAGAAGTCTGTTTTTCCGAGACACATTTACGGGGATCAGCCTGTAGCACTGTGCTTTGTGGAATTTATTGGGGGATCCTAAGAATGAGGTTCAGCTAACCAGAAAATCACTTTTATCCAGCACTTTTCAATCCTTGTAGGTGCCGGATAACTGGGATTCTACTGTACTTTGTTTATTGTTCATATACGGTAAATGTATCTCTTGCTTTATGGGGTGCATTTTTTGGAGGGCAAGGGGGGAAATTCATGCAGCATGTGAGAGTTAATGCTTTATTTTTCATGTATTTATTTATTAATTTATTTATTTACAGTTATTTTGCCAAAGGAGAAAAAATTGAGTATCTGTGTCAGTCATCAAACAAAGAAGAAAGTAACCAGAAGGCCCAGGAAAAGGGTACCATTTCCTAGGCCAGTGTTGGATGCTGAAACTCGAGACAAGTATTTTGCTCCTCTTCAACTTGGTGAATACAACTCCAGTTCTCATAGCAGTGAAGGATATTTTTTTCATATTACCTAATTTTAGATAACACACTATGATTACTTATTGCAAGTCTGTTATTGGAGATATATTTAACTACAGTGTTTCAACTAGAGTTTGTAATAATTTCAATGTGATTTCAGTGCAGAGTCAACTTTACAAATCTGTTTTACAGATTGGGTACGATATTAGTGAAACGCAGCACTACAAAACAACAAGTGTTTGATGTATACTATCATCCACCCAGAGGTCGGAAGCTTCGGTCTTCTGTGGAAGTTGGCAAATATTGTAAGTATCACCAATTGACTCTAATATGATTTTCAATGGTATTCTAAGCTGAACTAATAGGTGAAAATAAATGTTTTGTTTTTATGTTTTGCTTACTTTTAATTCAGAAAGCCAATGGCCAATGAAAGATTTTGTAGTAGCCTGTATATGTTGTGAGTAGTGTACTCATATGAACCACATAATATATCACTTAGTTCTGGGGTTGGCTTATTTAGTCCTGGAATACAATTTTTATTTGTCTGATGATACACTTTTTATATTCAGTTCATCACCAAGAGTTGATATAAATGGTCACGTGTGGAATGATTTACATTTGTAAAACTTGATTTCCAACCTAATGATACAGTAGTCTCTCCTTGGGACGTATAACTAAATACAGGCAGTCCCCGGGTTATGTACGAGTTCCATTCCTACAGACGTTAAGTAAGTCGAACCACATGCCTTATGTGCATACTGTACTTAGCAATGTTTAAAATCCCACTTATCATAGCCTACATCTTTATATACATCTAAAATCACTTAATTTAAGAGAAAAGAAGAAATAGAATGACAAAATACAGTAAATTAAAATTTAAAAAAAATCTGGTAACAAAAATACTGTAAATTTAAATTTTAACACCTACATTGTAACCTGGGGTTGGCTTCTCTCATTTTCCTGAACAAGGCTCGGCTTACAGGCATAAGCTGTTCATTGTGCTCTTCCACCCATATCACTAACACGCCTTCTATTTCAATTATCAATCCACATCTTTTTGGGGTTATCACAGTTGACTGCATTGTTGTAGATATTTTTACATGTTCAAGAATTTTTTTTTTGTCTTAAAATTGTACCAATTATTGGCCGACTGAAGCCCAATGCTCTACCAATGACTGACAGTGTTTCACTTTTTACAGAGCATTTAATGACAAATTTTTACATCCATTGTAATTGTTTTCCTTTTTCTTGGATGCACAACTATCACTTACATCAGATTTATGTTTAGGAGCCATGATGAGGGCAGAAAAGTATAGTAGTTAATAAGCAAAAAACAACACTGCACTTGGTCACACACGTTACTGAGATGAGCGTAAGGCTACCACAAGAGTAATTGTCCACTCCTCACCTACCGCTCTGCCTGCCCACAAACTAGTTCTCATACATTACTATGAACGCTTGTACTTACTTTGTATTCTTAAAATAATATACCCGTACTTTATCGGGACCTCATTCAGACGTGGACGTTCGTAAGTCAAACGCATGTGACCCGGGGAACTCCTGTATTTAGTAAAAAACACCGAATATATTCTGCCACCCTCATTTTGTCTTTACACAGTGATAGATAACAATGTGAGACACCTGACCTTGGAGAACTTCACATTCTACAGACGTCTCCTGGGATTCGGCGAACCATTTGAAATATTTCGGAATGCTCAATTCAGCTTTAGATTCCACAAACCAGTGAGTGTTTATTAATGTACTGTACAGTATTCAAAAGTTGCATGCAGTGAAACCTCCATATAACACACTTATCTTTATACAGTCAGTTAGATGGGGTTTTCACATTCATGGACCCTCGATACAGTATGACCAACTTTCATACGTATATAGTTTATTAGATGGAGGTTTTACATCGAACAGACTCTTGATATGACCAAATTCTCTCCTCCTGTAGTCCGTTAAATAGAGATTTCATCGTTATTTAAAATTCTGCCCGAGATATGAATGTGTTAAAAAACAAACAAACAAACATTCGTTGGGTGAATTTTTGTATCTCAAATAAAACAACACATGGGAAAAAATGGGTTGGGATCCCCAGACAAGAATAACCAAATATCATACTTTAAAACACAAAATTGGCTCACAAACAGGAAAAACTCTACTTAACTATTGATAAACACTACACAACTACAGTCATGCACCGGTTAACGTTCTAGATACGTTATTGGAAACGTGGCGTTAACCGAACATCGATCATCACATAAACTTTGTATTTATAACTTACATGCATGTTGGAATATATATCGCGATACCTTATACGCACACTCTTAAATCACTACTGTAATGTGATATAGGTGATTATTTTTGCTCTCTTGTGCCAAAATACACTTAAGTTTATATTTAAAATTATTCACTGTTTTACCTGAAGGATTCCATGTAGCAGATGGGGAGAGAGAGGGGTGGGAGGCGGCGGCGTGAGGGGAGAGTAAGTCGTTTGACGGTTGGCACGAGCCTAGTCTAGCATGTATTTATCAGTTCTTAGGTGACTAGCTTCTCTCTTATAAAAACCCAGTGGAAATGACCTGGAATATAATTAACTTGGAGTAAAACAATTTTAGTACCATAATCAAATAAGTACATGTGCTCCAGCTTTGCACTAAAGGTCATTTATTTCTGTTACATTTCTTTTAGTATGGTGTGTGCATGTAAATGGATGAAAATAAATGAAGGAAATCTCTGTAAATCTACCCAAAAGATACGGTTAGCTTTAAATGTACTACAGTACTGTACACTAATGTACAACAATTTTTATCTCATGAAACGAAATATATGGCGTTTATATTCCAAATTATTGTGGCTTTTGTCTTGCAGAGGTTTGGCAATGCAATTTATAATCTCCTAACTTTTAGAGTACAGGTTATCATATAAGGTAAAAACTGTAAGCCTAAAACTCTGGCTGGGGAGAGGGACAGGGGCAAGCCAGTAAACCAGTGAGGTGGGGTTTGGGGAGGGTTGGTGATATGTTTGACAGTTTGAGGCGAAGGTCTCTGTGTGTTTATTTAACAGTCTACTAAGCTTCTCTCAGTTTAAATGCCAGTGATATGATAGGAGAATATAATTAACATTGCTGGGATTCTTGTAAGATATTGATTTATTTGAATATAAACATGTTGTAATTAGCACTAGACATAACAATTTTAGTACGTACCAAATTAGTGCATGTACACTCAGCTTTGCACTAAGGTCATTTATTTCTTTTAAGATTTCTTTTAGTATGGTGTGTGCATGTAAATGGATAGAAAATAAATGAAGAAATTTATGTAAATCTGCAAATACAGTTTGAAAAACTTTATAAAATGTACTTCAGTATTGTACACTAATGGCTGCGACATATCTTGAGCAAAAATATATGGCGTTTATATTTAAATTAATCTCACAATAAGCGCAGGATTTCCATGAAATGCAAATTATATTATCCTAACTTTAGTCTGAGATATTATATAAAATAAACATAAAGAAATCACAAATCTTTGATACTTAGAGACACAAGGAGGGAGGTAACCGACTGAGTGTGGGAAGAAGGGAATTTGGGAGGAATTGAGGTGACAGTGTGTTTGTTTATTTATTTGAGATAAGATTTGACAGTTGGCGCTGAAGGCCTGCCTGCGTGTTTATTTATCATTGCTTAAGAGTGACTAAGCTCTTCTCATAATTTTCCACCCAAACGACCTGGGTGAATATAACTTACATTGGAGGGATTCTTGTAAGATAGTAATTTATTTGAATGTTTTTTTTTTCAATTTAAATTTTAATTGTTTATTCCTTGATGGAGGAAGCGGGATCCTAGTGCTGTCACTTGGTACCCCTGTACCATAACACCAGAAGCAACTGGCCAGTGTCACAAGTATATACAGTACAGTACAGTCATCCCTTGGTTATCGCGCCTAATTGGGACCCCGCCGATAACGAAAGTACACAACCTATGGGATTTATTCTAATTGCTTCCAGGCACCCAAGACCCAACTCTAAGTTTCCCATTTTACGACCATTTATACCCACTAAATATATATATATAATGTTATGGTAAATATCATAAACACACATAGGCATGGCTAGGTTTATTACAAAGTGATGAAAAGGGTACGCTTAATACTGTAGTCCACAAAACATGTAGCTATGCTTTATTTATTTTGTCCCCCATCATACAAGTCCGTTTTCTCTAACATCAGGACGCCTGAGTCCTCCGTTTTCTCTCTTAATCTTAGAGTGCACCAGAGACTTCGATATTCCTTAGTAATGCCACAGAATTTGAAATTGCAACCCCAATTGCAACTGGGGTTGCAATTATTGAGGCAACTAGATATATCTGATTACAGCAAATGTGTTATTGTCAATTTGTAGGTGAAAGATTTTATCCTCATTAGATGTAGGTTAACATTACACCTGGAGGCAAATGCTTAAAAAAAAGCCTAAGGAAGGAAGCATATTCCTTTAACATAATGTCTGACCAGTGTGGGGAGGAACATCATGTCTCCGTCAGGGGGTCGTGGAGTGATGGTTCAGCAAGCGTCACGGAATTTTTTTTGGGTGGGGGTGGGTACGACGAATATGTGATCGAGGCCTTCGGTTGGACGTTAACCAGCGCATGACTGTATACTGTTTTCTCCCAAACATTTCTCTGGTAGGGAGGGAAGGTGGGGGGTAGGGAGGGAGGGAGGGACCCAGCGATCGTGGGAAGAGGGGGGGGAGCTGGAGGTGGGGTATTTTGATTGACAGATAGTGTCTGGGTGAAGTATATTTTTATTATTTAGTGAAGATATTTGTTTTACCCCATAAAATTCATACAAATTACCTGGCCAGAATATAATTTACATTGCTGGAATTCTTACAATATGATGATCATTTTGAATATAAACATCATGGATTTTACATTAGACATACAAATTTTAGATCTAATGTAATAATTTGGTTTACACAAAGCAAATATTTTATCTTTTGTGCTAAATATATGAATTTTACATTCAAAATATTCTCTGACCTGCAAGGAATCCAGAAATGTCAATTATATTATCCTAACTTTAGGCTGTGGTATTATTTATTACTAAAAATTTAAATATACAGTATTACCCCGCCTAACGCGGTTTCACTTAACGCGTTTTTTCATATACGCGGTGCCTCGCCAGAGCTGAACTTTCACTTAACACGGATTTTTTCCACATATACACGGTGAGTGTCCGGCTCCAGACGCTATTTTTAGATTTGCCCCACCCCCCCACCCGCCACCCTGCCTGACTGCCTGTTTTAGCTCATAAAATTCATACAAATTACCCGGCCAGAATATAATTTACATTGCTGGAATTCTTATAATTTGATGATCATTTTGAATATAAACATCATATATTTTGCATTAGACATACAAATTTTAGATAAAATGTTTTCTCTGAGTAACTATGTTATCTTTTGTGAAAAATATATGACATTTATATTCAAAATATTCCTGGTCTTACAAGGAATCCAGCAATGTCAATTATATTATCCTAACTTTAGTTTGAGGTATTATTTATTACAAAAAAGTTAAATATTCTGGTTATCCCACACATCTCCTTGGGACGGTTGGTGGGGGGTGGGGGGAAGGGAGGGACCGACCGACCATCTGTTACCCTGTGAAGAATATATTTTTTTTTTATTAACTGAAGATATTTGTTTTAGCTCATAAAATTCATACAAATTACCCGGTCAGAATATAATTTACATTGCTGGAATTCTTATAATTTGATGATCATTTTGAATATAAACATCATATATTTTGCATTAGACATACAAATTTTAGATAAAATGTTTTCTGAGTAAATATGTTATCTTTTGTGCAAAATATATGACATTTATATTCAAAATATTCCTGGTCTTACAAGGAATCCAGCAATGTCAATTATATTATCCTAACTTTAGTAATCACTTTACTCTGGAACACATCCCCAATGTGTAATGAGAACCCCTGTACTGTATATCATTGTTAATGCTAACTTTTCACTCATAAACCCAACATTGGGTTAATAAAGTAAAAACTAACTTTAGAAGCATATTTAGTGTTCTCGTTAAATGACACTTTTGGGAAACTTCCCATAATTTTTATGCACTCAAATGGTTAAGATAGATAAATTAATGCCTTAAGGGAGAGGTACACAGATCTGTAAAGCCACTTGGGAGAACATGTAGATGAGTGTTGCAGTGATGTGTGCTAACAGTACTGTACACTGATAATAATTAGTGACTATAGAATGGTGTATGTTAAATGGGAAGAGTTTGATCATTGATATAAAACTTAATCAGATGTAAAGAGCCAGAAGCTTGATTAAAGGTACAGTGTGATAAAAATTACCGAAGTAAATCGAAGTTTGATCGAAGGTACAGAGGCAGATCAGTTTAAATTTTAATCTTTTGCAGAAATAGAAATGCAGTACAGAATTGGGGTTTTATTTTCTATTTCTGGAATATTATTAGTTTTCAATAATTTTCTAATAAGATATTTAATTTATAATTTCATAATTTTTATGAATTCTTCTTTGAAATACTGTACAATCATTTTATGTATCTCAGTATGAAAATTTGTAACCAAAATAGTTTTGTCTTTAAAAAATTTAAAATGTGTGTTAATGACTATTTTAAAATAATCAACAGAAGCAGTTACAAGATGTAAAGACGACTCCTCTCATTATAGAGGCAAACACAACTTCAAAAAGTAGAGAAAAGGAAAACAAGCATTCAGGCTCTTCTGCAACTATGAAGCCAACTAATGTGCAGTGTGAACATCACCAGAACATCTCACATGAAGGAAATGCCAATGATCAAACTGGTAATGACTCGATACACTTAATATATCTTCTCATCCATTTGTGTCATGCTAGGGTAGGTGGGTAATCTTTGATTACTTCAGTTAGTAGCAATTATGCTCTGCCAGCTAAGTGGCATGATGAAGTCTTAAATGTTATGCTCATTTCCCACTCTATAAAAGTGGGTTGGTGATTGGAAGGACATCCAGCCAAAACATTTCCTTCAAATTTGCCTCATGGTAACCTGGACACCATGCCATCAGGTTATCGTGGCTAACCCACACAAGCATGGAAAATAGCGGTAAAATGGTGATGATCCACTTGTGTCATGTGTTCAAAACATATTAAAAAGCCTTTGATATGCATGTGTATACATTTAATATGACTTCCATTGTGGTTCATATTAATATGCCCTGTGCAAAACAAGTACACCATATTGGTTTACCCTTTCACGCATGTTTCCATCCCAATTTTGTGTGCAGTGCACTTATGTTTCATGAGCAGGAGTTCAGATTTTGAACTAAATTTTAGCATAAATGCCTGAACCACATACAACTTCTACACTTATTTAATTTGGGGAGGTCAAAGGTCAAGGCCATGTGTGCAATACTAAATTAAAACCAACCAGACCTGCACAACTCTAGTTCTCTGAGTACTTTATCATAATTTTACCCAGCAGGAGAAACAGTGGATATTTCCTCATCAGGATCTGGAGGTACCTGGGATTTCAGTCCTTAAAGGTTAAAACAAGATGGGGAAAAGTCATTTTCTAGAAACTGACAAAAGGTTCTATGTATCAACAGATGAGACAGATTTTTTCTCAAACTGCACTACTGAGCTTTCTCCTGTGCTGCCTCTCCTCACTCTGCCCTTCCCCTATTCATGGGGGGTTGATAAGATTTATCTAACATAAAAGAAAGGTTATTAATCAAATTTTTTTTACAAAGAAAAAATTAATACATGGTTTAAAATTAACTGTTACTTGGGTTTTCTGACAATTATATTAATCCATAGATGATGGAGCTTTTTCTGTAGACTGTTTACTCTGACAGGGAAAAATGGGTAAAGTTATGTTATAAATTTTTTATGAAAAGGATAAGGTTTGCTTACTAAATAGATTGGTGTAATCATATTTGCTGGATATGCCTATTGACAGCCACAAACTTTGTCCTCTCTCCATCTGGCAATACTGTTGCTGTTACAGAAAACTCGGTTTACAGAAATTCGAGGATACACATGCCTCCCGTAAGTACCATTATAATAATTTCCGGGTTGTGCAGGAGTTTCTTTTTTTATGGAAGGTAACTAGCACGGCGTAACAATCTTTGCGGAGGATTATGCATAATGTGGCTGAGCACATCCCCTTGTGACACGCCACCTGTGATTCAGTATAGGGTACAGTACATATTTACCTAATGGAAGGGTCATTTTCGGTTTACAGAAAATTCGTCTTACAGATAGGGTCTAGGAGTGGAACCTTTCCGTATACCAGGGAGTGTCTATATACAGTAATATCTCCGTTACCTGGAATCCTTCTTGATCGGAACTTTCCAATAGTCAGAATTGATATTTTCATAGAAAATTTTTCCCAAAGCCGGAATTCTCCAGAAAATATATGTACAGTAATACCCTGCTTTACGCAGTTCTCATTGACGCGGTACCCTGCCAGAACTGGAATTCCCACTTTACGCGGAATTCCCACTTCACTCGGTGCATCTACTAATATACGCGGGTGAAGTATAATTTTTTTATTTAGCTCATAAAATTCATACAAATTACCCGGCCAGAATATAATTTACATTGCTGGAATTCTTACAATATGATGATCATTTTGAATATAAACATCATAGATTTTGCATTAGACATACAAATTTTAGATCTAATGTAAGAATTTTTTTTACTCAGATCAAATATGTTATCTTTTGTGCAAAATATATGACGTGTATATTCAAAATATTCCTGGTCTTGCAAGGAATCCAGCAATGTCAATTATATTATCCTAACTTTAGTCTGAGGTATTATTTATTACTAAAATGTAATTATACTGTTTTAACCCAAACATTTCTCTGGTAGGAAGGGAAGGTGGGGGAGGGAGGGAGGGACCGACCCAGCAAGTGTGGGAAGAGGGGGGGCAGCTGGAGGTGGGGTATTTTGATTGGCAGATAGTGTCTGGGTGAAGTATATTTTTATTATTTACTGAGGATATTTTTTTAGCTCATAAAATTCTTACAAATTACCCGGCCAGAATATAATTTACATTGCTGGAATTCTTATAATATGATGATCATTTTGAATATAAACATCATAGATTTTGCATTAGACATACAAATTTTAGATCTAATGTAAGAATTTTGTTTACTCAGAGCAAATATGTTATGTTTTGTGCAAAATATATGACATGTACTGTATAGTCAAAATATTCCTGGTCTTGCAAGGAATCCAGCCATGTCAATTATATTATCCTAACTTTAGTTTGAGGTATTATTTATTACTATACCTTAAAATCTATTGTTTTCACCCAAACATTTCTCAGAGGGAGGAGCCAGCGAGCTTGGGAAGATGGGGGAGGGAGCTGAGTCCATTATTTGAATGGACATTAACCTGGCTACTGTATTTCTCTTAAATATTGTGTGTGCATACCATCATAAAATTAAGCTGTTATTTTTACTACAACATAGGTATTGTGTCGGAAAAAGTGGAGTTTGAGAGTCGACCCAGTCTCTATTTCAATTAATCCCATATGTTTTGTTATTCCATTTATGCGTTTCTCGTTTTACGCGGACCTCTGCGGGTTCAATTGACTGCGTAAATTGGGGTATTACTGTATATATGGTACTTTATCCACACTGACCTAAATCGGCAGTGATGTCTGTGGGACCCACCATTACATTTCTAGTGACAATACCCAGACTAGGCTTTGACCTTGGAACCTTGAACTGTCACTGAGACTTTAATTTCACATTTTACCTTGTGATGATGGTGAAACTGTACATACTGTACTCATTTGAGTTTTATCAAAGTATTTACATTGATACAGTACAGGTTATCTGAACAATGTTTTGAACTTCTGTACTTCTTGTGGTCATGGTGCATATTCATGTGAAATCACATCAAACTACTGTACATTGATTCAGTACAAAAGTTGACCCATAATTTCCAGTGATCTTAACACCGAGGTTTTATCATCATCACTGTTTTACAGCCATTTTCCATGCCTGTGTGGGCTAGCAATTAGTATTCAGCATTTTGCCAAGTGGTAGCTCATATCCTTGTGAATCTTTGTCAAAATATTTGTATTGATATAAGTGCCATGCTTTGGAAGAAGTTTTTAACGTTGACCTTCATTTGTGACTAAAGTTATTGCACATGAATACATGGTGTTTAGATAATCTTCCTGGCTGTAAGTAAATATGACTGATGATGTAGGACTGCTTGTGAGTATGTTATACTTTTTGGGACAGATGAATTGAGTTACACTATCCAAGTATGCCCCACTCCAGTAGGAACATGAAAAACTTTTATATTTTTATGAACCATTGTTGCCATCATTGTGCTTAAGTGTATTATTCTCCTGTCACATTACAGATCCATCCTCTTTAAAGTTCTCTCATGAAGTTTTCTTACAGATGAATTTGAAGTTGCCATGGAGATTGGAGAAACAACAGGATATGAAGACTGGATACCACTTATTCAATGCAAACCAGAGGATTGTGAAAACTGGTTTAAAGATAAAAATAAACTTTCTGAAGAAAAATCACAATTCTCAGAGCTGACTACCAAGACCAAAAGGGAGAACATATTAGAACACCCTGAAGATGATGATTTGAGAAATGTTGAGGAGAACAAAAACATTCATTGTGATGACATGTATGATAGACTTAAAGAAATAAGTACTATACCTGAACATGACTTAGATGAGGTAAAAGTTAAAGTGGAAATAGTTAGCCCACTAAAACATAACTCTGTTACAAGCAACATGTTTGGAAGTAAGAAAGAAGTATTCAATTCGCCAATTGATATAAAATATGAACCCTTGTTTACTTCTCCAGTTCATAACAACGAAGAGGAATATTTTGCTTTAAGTGAAGATATTTTGGTAAATAAGATAGATTTATTGGGTGAACATGATATAAATATTCCTGTAATATCAAAAGTTCAAAGTGGAAAGGAGGCAGAAGAATTATTCCCAACTTTAGTAGAACCTCTTCAACTATGGTATGATCCAACAAAGGCAAAATCAGCGAAGAAAGTTGAAACAAGAAATGAAAGGTCATTAAACAAATTATGGAAAGAAGTTTCTTCCAATAGTGTAACAGGTTCAGGGTATGCTCCACCTAGTAAAAAATTTAAAACAAATTTTGAAGCAAAACATAAAAGTTTACCAAACAAAGTATGCAATAGTGTGTCTTTAAATGCTTCAGCAGGTTCAAAAGTTACATTGTCTGTAGAATCCCAGTATGTTCCTAAAGTTACTGAAACAGCTGCACAAGAACCTCAAGTTTTGTATCGTGGAGAAGGCAGCATTAACCCAAGCTGTAGTACACCACAAGCAAGGATGGCTAATCGTACAAGTAAAGCTGGTATTGTGAATAGAGAAATAAATCCCGAATCAACAGAGTCAATGAAAGTAGACCTCAAGTCATTTAGAATAGAGGAGATAAGAAATGCAGATCTAAGGGCATTTAGGAAAACAAGGATGACCATGGCACCTAGGACAATGACATTAACTGGACAGATTTATGAAAGATCAAAACAAGCAGTGACAAAACTACAGCAAGAAGTAAACAACATTTCACAACAGTCATCTGAACCAAGTAGACACAAAATTGATCTAACTCAACAGCAAGAAGTAAACAACATTTCACAACAGTCACCTGAACCAAGTAGACACAAAATTGATCTAACTCAACAGCAAGAAGTAAACAACATTTCACAACAGTCATCTGAACCAAGTAGACACATAACTGGTTTAACTCAACAGCAAGAAGTAAACAACATTTCACAACAGTCATCTGAACCAAGTAGAGACATAATTGATTTAACTCAACAGCAAGAAGTAAACAACATTTCACAACAGTCATCTGAACCAAGTAGACACAAAATTGGTTTAACTCAACAGCAAGAAGTAAACAACATTTCACAACAGTCATCTGAACCAAGTAGAGACATAATTGATCTAACTCAAAATCAATCGGTATCAAGTGGACACACTAGAAACTCAACACTTCAGCCATCAACATCAAGTGGACATGCTCAAAACTCAACACTTCAGCCATCAACATCAAGTGGACACACTAGAAACTTAACACTTCAGCCATCAACATCAAGTGGACACACTAGAAACTCAACACTTCAGCCATCAACATCAAGTGGACACACTAGAAACTCAACACTTCAGCCATCAACATCAAGTGGACACACTAGAAACTCAACACTTCAGCCATCAACATCAAGTGGACACACTAGAAACTCAACACTTCAGCCATCAACATCAAGTGGACACACTAGAAACTCAACACTTCAGCCATCAACATCAAGTGGACACACTAGAAACTCAACACTTCAGCCATCAACATCAAGTGGACATGCTCAAAACTCAACACTTCAGCCATCAACATCAAGTGGACACACTAGAAACTTAACACTTCAGCCATCAACATCAAGTGGACACACTAGAAACTCAACACTTCAGCCATCAACATCAAGTGGACACACTAGAAACTCAACACTTCAGCCATCAACATCAAGTGGACACACTAGCTCAACACTTCAACATCAAGTGGACACGCTCAAAACTCAACACTTCAGCCATCAACATCAAGTGGACACACTAGAAACTCAACACTTCAGCCATCAACATCAAGTGGACACACTAGAAACTCAACACTTCAGCCATCAACATCAAGTGGACACACTAGAAACACATCAAAACTCAACACTTCAGCCATCAACATCAACACGCTCAAAACTCAACACTTCAGCCATCAACATCAAGTGGACACGCTCAAAACTCAACACTTCAGCCATCAACATCAAATGGACACACTAGAAACTTAACAAGTGGACACGCTCAAAACTCAACACTTCAGCCATCAACATTAAGTGGACATGCTCGAAACTCAACAAGTGGACACGCTCAAAACTCAACACTTCAGCCATCAACATCAAGTGGACACACTAGAAACTTAACAAGTGGACACACTCGAAACTCAACACTTCAGCCATCAACATCAAATGGACACGCTCGAAACTCATCAAGTGGACACGCTCATAATTCAACACTTCAGCCATCAACATTAAGTGGACATGCTCGAAACTCAACAAGTGGACACGCTCAAAACTCAACACTTCAGCCATCAACATCAAGTGGACACACTAGAAACTTAACAAGTGGACACACTAGAAACTTAACAAGTGGACACACTCGAAACTCAACACTTCAGCCATCAACATTAAGTGGACACGCTCGAAACTCATCAAGTGGACATGCTCATAATTCAACACTTCAGCCATCAACATTAAGTGGACACACTCGAAACTCAACAAGTGGACACACTAATAATTCAACACTTCAGCCATCAACATTAAGTGGACACACTCGAAACTCAACAAGTGGACACACTAATAATTCAACACTTCAGCCATCAACATTAAGTGGACACACTCGAAACTCAACAAGTGGACACACTAATAATTCAACACTTCAGCCATCAACATCAAGTGGACACACTCATAACTCAACACTTCAGCCATCAACATCAAGTGGACACACTCATAACTCAACACTTCAGCCATCAACATCAAGTGGACAAAACGATAAGTTACATGACTTGTTAACACATAAAATACCACACCCGTCATCAAATGACAAATTTCCATCAATAAATAACATACTATTCCATTTATTTGCTAACCGACCACACCAGGCATCAAGCAACCTACCACACCAGTTATCAAGCAGCCTACCACACCAGTTATTAAGCAGCCTACCACACCAGTTATCAAGCAGCTTATCACACCAGTTATCAAGCAACCTACCACACCAGTCATCAAGCAGCCTACCACACAGTTATCAAGCAGCCTACCACACAGTACCACACAGTTATCAAGCAGCCTACCACACCAGTTATCAAACAAACTACCACACCAGTTATCAAGCAACCTACCACACCAGTCATCAAGCAACCTGCCACACCAGTTATCAAGCAACCTACCACACCAGTCATCAACAGCCTACCACACCAGTTATCAAGCAGCCTACCACACCAGTTATCAAGCTGCCTACCACACCAGTTATCAAGCAGCCTACCACACCAGTCATCAAGCAACCTACCACACCAGTTATCAAGCAACCTACCACACCAGTCATCAAGCAACCTACCACACCAGTCATCAAGCAACCTGCCACACCAGTTATCAAGCAACCTACCACACCAGTCATCAAGCACCCTACCACACCAGTCATCAAGCAGCCTACCACACCAGTCATTAGTATCAAGTGGAATTTACCTTTTGCAGTGAACATAATTAAGCAGTGTACAGCCCCCCCCCCTTCAAAGTGTTGTTATATTTTCCATCTTTTCAATTTGAAATGCTGCACAAAATGCTTTAATAGGGTATGCCTGCTCCCCATGTGGGTAACAACTGTAGAAGGTGGTCTTCCCTTTGTGGATTACTAAATACTTCAGTTTTATTCTGACATTCTCTTTGCAAAGTGTTACTTTATACAGGTAATTTGTTCTACATAGAAGGTACTGGTGTATACCAATACTGTACCTGTGGTCAACTGTTCCAAAACTAGTGATTTAATACTAATCATAAAACCCCTCGGGTAATACTACTTTTTTTTGGGGCTACATTTTACCACATAAGGTATTGAATGTGTATGACATGTTATATCATATTGTAGGATATTACATTAGAACAGTTACTGGTATTCACTACCCAAAAAGAGTTTATTGAAAAGTGGACAAACAAGTGTAATCCACTGCATTTAATTCCTGTATAAAATTAATTGAAGGATTAGTTTCTGTGAATAATAGTACAATACAGTATTATATGAGTGAACTTTGCATAATTGTAAGATGCAGGCTCAGTAAACTAATAAGTGAAAAGTCTTCATTATCAGATTTGGGCATTCTTTTTTTTAGTATACTTGAGTGTTCGGTATCAGTCATTAAAAATCAAAATCTGATAATGGCCCAAAATTATGGACACTTACGTTTACCATTAAATCCCGGGAAAAATAATGTATATATTTTTTTGTATTAAAACTGCTGTGAATATGAATAACAGACAACATGTGTGAGAACAAAACAAACTATACTCAGTAAGGACAATATAAGGTCCTGTACAGTATGTAACTGAAAATAAGCTGTAATCAAATGAGGACACTATGTTAATGTAAACAGAACCTGAATTGGTAAAAAAATATATATTTTATTTTGCCTCTTAAAGTGGCTTAACTCTCTACATATTTAATGTTAAGTTGCATAATTTATATTGAAATTTTCTCTGCTGCTCTCTCTGCAATTGCAGTACAGTACATGGGTTTTATCATCTTATTGACCATCATCATCCATTGTTGAAGGCCTTAAAACATTACGCTTTCTTCCCATCATCCCTACTCCTTCACCTAACTTTAGGTATGGCACACAGACATATCCATTTGCTCCTTTTCTTGAGCCATGAATCGATAGCTAGTCCTTGATTCACCACATCCATATCCAAGATGTGTGCGAGACGTAGCCAGTGCCACTCCTTTCCACTGATGGATGTAGTATACTTTCCAACTACAGTCGCCAGTGGTGAGGATCTACACCACCCTTATATTTATTGTATTAATTCAAAGCATTTGGTTTAAGGATGTTAACTTTAGTCTTGATGTATCTTTGTGAACACTGTTTCTTTCCAAGAGGTTCAGTGGTATCATAAATATTTCATAATTTGTTAAAATACAAACACACTTGTTATCAAACCATTTGATCATAAAAAATTTCTTCCTATATGTCAACCTTGTAGTCTAATGATCTCCCCTTCTCCTTTTTCATCACATTTGTTGATTTCATTATTTTCACTGAGGGGTTCCTTTAGCATGGTTTGCAAGATTCCTAAGGTGAACTGACAAGTCACATCCAGTGAAAAAGTTATCAAATAAAACTTCCACATAATGCCCAGGGTTTATACCTTAACCTAACAGGTTTACCTCATATGAATTGCTTTTGAGAGTAGTTCCCATAACACCTCACAATCAATTCATCCACAGCAATACATTCTTTAATAAAATTCCAAATTGATGAAATAATTCTGCAATCGGGGAAACGGTATTACCTTGAATCCCGTCAGATTTATTCTTGCCAACATCCTCATTATTGCACAAGTGTATGACACTTTTGTGACTATTAAGAACTGAAAACAGTTTTTAGACAATACACTTCTAACTATGGGAACACAAAGATGATCTTTAGAAAAGTAATGTCTTTCAGAAGGCAATTTATAACTTCAAAATAAACATATTGCATTAAAGGCATTTAGCTCCTCAATACAGTGAACCCTCGAAGATCCAGATTAAAAGGGGGGGGGGGGTGGACCACATGTCCAAATCTTCCGGTGAATGTACTAAATGTATAAAACAATAAATGATATAAAAAAACACCAAAAATACAGTACAGGTACATATTATCCTGACTATTGGGGTTAGTTATACAGAATTTTTCCCATGAAAATGCCATACTTTTGAACAACATTACTGTACAAGTACTCACTTTACACTTAAATGTACTACACCAAAGAATTTTTTTTATCTCTTATGCAAACTATGTGATGTTTTTATTCAAATTATTTGCTATCTTGCAAGGATTCCAGCAACATAAGTTATATTCTACTAAGTTTAGTCAGACATTTTATAAGATAAAAACATTAAGCCTAAGACTACCTTCACCTTGTTTTGGTAATGCTTCCTAGCCCAGAACCCCCCAAATTCAAATTTACCGGGTCCAGATCTTCGAGTGTTTACCGCACTGAGAATAAAGTCACCCTTGTTTTTGCAAACTGTTGCATAGCGAACACTTAATTTGATAATGTGACCATAGAATTTTGGTGTCATTATATCCTGAAACAGCTTAGGGAAGTTAAAGGCCAAGTTTTTCTAAAAACAAAAAACAAAATTCAGGCATTTGCTGTAATGTTTGTCACACTCTTTTTAATCTTGCTGTAATCTGGAACATTGTTAATTTCCATTGACTCTTACTTGCAATCTAATAGTAATAAACATTAAAAATGTGTGCCAGACAGAGAGAAAACTTTAAAATACATAGAGATAGAAGTATAATTTTTAAGTTTTTTGGTATTGGGACATCTTATATAAATAATGAATAATCATTAATTTGTATGAAATTTTTGTGCCAAATTTTTGCTCACATTAGACCAGTAAAAACTATGTCATTAGTCTTCTATTTGAATAATTCCTAAACTATGTAAAAAATTATTATAATTAACAATTGGCGAGCAGTTCAGAATACGTACAAGTAAAATTATTTAAAGTGTCCTCAATAGAGTATTTATAAGTGTTTAGTGTTTGTAAAATAATACTAGTTTAATACTGTACAGGTTGACAATCCCTTATCCGAAATCCTTGGGGCCAGAGGCATTAAGGATTTTGGAATTTTTTGGTTTTCAGAATTTTTTTTTTTTTAATTAACCCACCCGGGCACAAGTCACTGACCCACATTGAGGCCTGGGGGGCGAAAATATAATAATAATAATAATAATTCATAGGTCTAGGTCGTGTTTCTCGCTTTTTTATCTTTTTCATTCTTGTATTTCTTTATTATTATTATTATTTTATTAATACAGTATTATTGTTATTATTATTATAAATTTTATTACAGCGTATTATATTTTATTATTATTATTATTGTTATTATTATTTTATTTTGGTGTATTTTTTAATTAAAATTTTATTTACTATGAATATTATTATTATAATCATTATTATTATAATCATTATTATTATAATTAGTATTACTATTACATTTTCGCCCCCCAGGCCCCAATGT